AAATACTGAATGGGTGACTTTTCCTGCCTGAATAGCCATGGGTCAAGGTTGCCCTTGGCACTTTCCTTTCTGGATTGTAAAGCAATACATGGTTGCCTAAGGCAAGGGCTGTATCCAGTGTGCTATAACTTCCCGGTTTGGCTAGTGTGCTAGGAGCAGAGTCAAAATTTCCCTTGTATGGTGTGATGAATGAAAACCCTGAAAGACAGAGTTTCTGGGTAATTAATAATCAATTTATTAATTAGATTAACTAATAATAAAAAATTGACTGTCAGTAGTTTCTCTTAGTAACCAAAATATTTGAAGGGAGGTTCTGAATCACCCTAAATCACTTTTGAAAAGGAACTCTCCTGAAAAGTGAAACTTAATGAGGAGGTGGGTATGAAAGTCTTCAGCTTTTTCTGCTGAGAAGTAGTTTGATCATAAGACTGAGCAGCCTCAAGGCATCTAAACAAGGGAAGCCATTTCCATCTGGACCTCTCTAGCTAGTTTTCTATTTCTTGAGCTGGGTTGCCCTAAACTCTAATGGAGTCGATCTAGGAGGGCTGTTTCCCAGGCAAAAAAAACCCACCAGTCTGGTTTCTATTTATACTCTAAACAGAAATTTTGCCTCCCAGTTGGGTAGGGTACTGCCCAACCTAGTTAAGGAGCATATGTTTTGGGGGCTATCTATTAAGTAATCTCATCACACAGTCATGGCCTTTAGAGACTGACCAACCTTTTTAGGAGTGAGAGAAATGATTATTTCTCCCTCATATTAATAATCAATTATTAAATTAGAACCAGGATTTTTTCAGAAGCCTAGGTTGTTCAGTCTCTGAAGGACATTGCTGATATTGAGATTGAATTAATTTTCTCCTCCATCTTTTTCAGACCCCACCCAACCTTACAAGGAATTTAATCCAAGGCGGGGAAGCCCATGGTGCTCTACCCAGGTTTAGGTGGGGATAAATTCTTTGATTAGATTGCTCAAGGCTGGGCAATTTAGAAGTAAATGACATAATCCAAGTTACATTCTCCCAGCCCCTTATTAGAATAGGTCCACCTCTGTTACAATATTCATTGCCTCTCATTGATTGGTAACCAATCAGAGTTGATTGCCTGAGTAACACCCATTCTTCCAAGGGCACATACACTCTGAGCCCACTGCCATGATTTGTCTCTGGCATTCCAGACTGTCGCTGACTCGTTTTATTTGTAATATGCTAGTATTATAAATAAAATGATTAATTATCCAGAAACTATGTCTCTTGAATTTTTAAAATGTCACAGGAGTTGGACCTTAACAGAAATAAAAGGAAAAGGGTGGATTACAAATTAGTAATTAGTTACTAATATGATAGTATAATATTAATTTCTCTCAATGGTCTGAGGACCTGTTCTTTGGGAGGCTCCGACCTCCTGAATTAGCCCAAAGAGCCCGGTCCTGGTCTGTACCTTAGGCCTGTCACCAGAGCACATTCTCCTCCCTTGTAGTCTGGCTCCTGCTGCATGCTTGCCCAATGGGACTAACTGGGCACAGGAATCCAGGGGGCCGAATGCAATCTACCCTCCTGATTTGTGAGCAACGAACTCCTGCTTCTAGATGAAGTCAGCATTGGGTAGTGTCCAGTACGTCCTTCCAGTTTGTACTCCTACTCAACACTCTTTCAAGGGCTCATCTTTTCTGAAGCATCCACCTGCTGCCTTCCCAGGGACCACCCAATATTTGCTGCCTTATCATTACAAATGGCAAGCATCCGGTGCTTGCCAGAAAGGACCAATTTAAATGTGTCCAAGTTTATTTCATGCTATGTACTGGCGAATACTATTCTTTTTTCTCCCTAGACCTGTGCCTCCCTCATATACCTGTTTTGTTTCTAACA